AAAAATAAAGAATATAAAGAATATTATACTGTAATTCCAAGTCTATTTTTTGTTATTCTTTCTTGATTCTCAACAATAAATATATCCGAATTTTTTTTATGATCTCTTAACCAATTTCTAACTTTAGTGTTGCTTGTTTTCTCCGCACTCTTAAATAACGGTTGTTTATTAAATTCCACCACATTTTCCATTAAAACTTTTAAAAGTTCAATATTTTCACGTAATGCTATAGCGTATTGTAAAATATTTAGATTTTTAAAAGCCGTAATGGTGGTAATCGTTTTGGTGGTAAAATTGATTTTACCTAAATAAATTAATAATAAAATTATATCTCGATCAATTTTATCTTGTAAATAAATTGCCAAGAAAAGTGTATTGGAAAAATCGGGAAAAATTTCTTTATCATGATCATCTTTGGCTGATTTAACGAAAAGATCCGCGTTGGCACCTTTTTCTAATAATAATTTAACCGTTTCAATTGCTAAAGGTGTCATTCCCAAATTACATTGAGTTATTTCTAATAAAAATCTATTTAATGGTGTTAATGTATAATTTTTTTTTTGAACCCAATGAATTCCTTGAGATAAACATTCATCATTTTTTGGTATAGCTTTAACGATATTTTTAAATGCTTCAAATTTATGAATTATTAATGAATAATGTAATACATTAAAATCTCTATATTTCATATCATAATTTGCCTTATTTTCAATTAAAATTTTAATTAAGTATGCAAAATTATTGGGTTCCATCCTTTCCATATGTACGCAAGCAAATAAACTATTTGGTAAATCATCCCAATGTTTGGATGTTTTAATTGGAAGATTAGCATTTGCTCCAAACTTTAATAAAAGTGTAATTAATTCAATTAATTTAATCGTTTGTCGGATTTCGGTTTGTTCCATAATTGCATATAAAATAGAACCTATAATATTTTGATAAATGTCTTCTCTTGGCTCTATTTGAACAAGTTGTCGTGCGACTCTTTTGTGAAGTTTTTCTTCTACTTCTTTTAATAAATCTATAATTCCGGAATAAAGTTTTTCCTTAACAGCGTACTCTAAAACATTTATTCCTTCATGATCTACTTGAGTAATCGCCACTTTATCAATTAATAAACCTATCACCTTTTTCCTATATCTGTCAGGAAGGTACAATGATAAATATAAAGAATTAGGAACTTTTGGGCATAAGGAAGTTTTGTGCTGTTTACTCTTAATAAAATATCGATCATATTGAAGATTATTTATATCTAGAGGTACATTTGCATCTGCGTCGTGATCAAGCAATTCTTCAATTATAGAACTATGATCCTCTTGTTCATTAATCATTCGAAGCAATACTAAATTTAAAACTGATAGTTCGTAAGGTTTCGATAATAAAGTTGGATCGGCTTCATTTTGTAATAAATATTGGACATGATTTTGATTAATCGAATTTCGAACGCAGGATAAAGCGAATAATGGTGAAACCTTCGGTGACAATGGTTCTAAAGATGACAATGGTTCTAAAGGTGCCAACTCATTAATCATCTTTCCAAGAAATCCAAAATCGAATAACCAACTAATTATGCTCTTAAATTCTTTTTTTCCTTGAAAATTATCATTACTGATAATTAAATGTAAAAAATGTGAAATATTATCTTCATATTCAAGTGAACGTTGGAATGATTCCTTAACAACATCAGGTTTGCCATATCTTGCTTTTAATTCTAAGAGCGTTCCTTCTATCTCTTTAATAGTAAGTTTATCCTCGCCCTCACAAAATATATTTTCCATATTTGCCATATTTGTTGAATAATAAGCATCATATCCGTGCCTTGGTAGTGGTGACCGTGGTGGTGTCACTATTTCTTGCTGTGGTGGCTGTGGTGGTCTCGTCGGTTCTTGCCGTGGCGATCTCAGCAGTTCTCGCTGCGGTGATCTCGGCGATTCTTGCTGTGGTATTGGTGATGGTTCTTGCTGTGGTATTGATGATGGTTCTTGTTGTGGTAGTGTCCGTAGATCTTGCAGTGTTGGTGCTCGTATACATAGTGCTTGTTGTGGTGATCTCAGCAGTTCTTGCTGCGGTGATTGTTGAAATTCATGCTGCGATAGTGTCCGTAACTCTTGTAGTGATGGTGCTCGTAGTTCCTGCCGTGATGGTGTTTGGAATCCGTATAATGTATTTCTATTAGGTTTTGGCGGTATTGGTGGCGGTGGGGGATATAAATCGGTATTTATTTTAGGAGGTTTTGGTGGTAATGGTGGTGGATGAACTATCGTAACGTTATTAAAAGCTTCTTTTTTTTTTTTAAAAAAAAAAAAAAAAGAAAAATGTAATTAAAATATTATATATGAAATTTCAAATGACGTAATTATGTAATTACCAATATAAGATTCACGGTTTAAAAGATTATTGAGATTATTCGTAAATGGAGAATCTGATAATTCTAAGAAAAAAAAATTTTAAATGTATAATGAGAATTATGAAGAATTATATGAAAAAAGTTTAGGAGAGAAATTTAAAATACCAGATGTATTTGTATTACTATCATTGTCGGGAGCGGTACGATATAAAGAATTAGAACCAGGAGAACTTATTGGTGAATCTATAACTGGAGTGTAAATAAGGATAGGGCGAGGAGAACTGGGCGAACTTATATTATTTGCATTATACAAATTATCAAAAATTTCTACTAATTCTTGTATTTTTGGCCTATTTTCTGGTAAACACTCTAAACATCTTATAATTATTTCCGATATAATTGGAGGGGTGTCACTAGTGAGCATTTTATAAAGTTTATCAATAGTCACAAAAGGAGGGACACGACAAGTCGATATTTCCCATATTAACATTCCAAAAGAATAAATATCCGACTCCATTTTTGGTCGATAACGAGAATTAAGAACTTGTGGATCTATGTAGGGGAGCATGCCGCATACGCTAGAAGATGTAGCTTCAGCTTCATTTAATAATTGTGCAGACAATCCAAAATCCGCGATAATTAATCTTGAATCTTGATGTATCAAGATATTTTTTGAATGTAGATCTCGGTGCGTGATCCCTTCATTATGAATGCATCGTAAGCCATGTGCTATATCTCTACACATCGTTATCTTTTTAGGCCAATTTAATTGATATTCATATTTCCTTAGGTATTCTCTCAAATTTCCATTTTCGCAATACTCAAGAACAAGAAAATATCTTTCATTTTCATGATCTTTATAAAATATAAATAATATTAATTTATAAAAGATTAACAAAAAGTTAATAACTCAGAGACAAGTCATTTGAAAAAATATATAATACTCAACCAATAGATACACCAAGGAAAGATATAACGTTTTTATGATAAGATAGTTCTTGTAATGACCTCATCTAAAAAAATTTTTTTTTT